CACATACTTATAGCCATTTGATACTTGACAAAGTTGGCAAAATATATGTTGGAGAAAAGAGCCTTTAAGACAAATAGTTCTGGGAAAACTGAATAACCATAGATAGAAGAATGAAATTAGATCCATGTCTCATCCTGCGATTCAAAATGAATCATACTTAGGAACTAGACCAAAAGCCTTGCAACTGTTAGGAAAAAAAAAACATAGTCAACACTCCATCATATAGGTATAGGCACCGACTTTCTTAACAAGACCCGTAAAACTCAAGAAATAAAATCAAGAATCAATAAGTGTGATATCATCAAATTAAAAAGCTTTTGCACAGTGAAGGAAACCCATCAAGAGAATGAAGAGAGAGCCTACAGAATAGGAAAAAACCTTTGCCAGCTACTCCTGTGACAGGGAATTAATATCCAGAATATATAAAGAACTCATAAAATTCAATTGCCAAAAAAGCAGGTAACCCAATCAATAAATGGCAAAAGAACTAAACAGAAAACTCTCAAAAGAAGAAAAACAGATGGCCAACAAATATATGTAAAAATGTTCAACATCTTTAGCAATTAGAGAAGTGCATATCAAAGCTACATTAAGATTTTCTCTCACTCCAGTCAGAATGGCAATTATCAAGAATATAAATAATAATAAATGCTGGTGAAGGTGTGGGGGGGAAGTACACTTATACATTGTTGGTGGGACTGCAAAATTAATACAACCACTTTGGAAAGTAGTGTGGAGGTTCCTCAGAAAACTGAGACTGGAAACATATGACCCAGTCATCCCACTCCTTAGCGTTTATCCAAAAGAACTAAAATCAGCATGCTGTAATGATACATCCACCTCAGTATGTATAGCAGCACAGTTCACAATAGCCAAATTATGGAATCAGTCCAGATGCCCATCAATATATGAGTGGATAAAAAAAATATAGCATATATACACTAAGGAGTTTTACATAGCCAAAAATAAGAATGAAATAATGATATTTGCCAGTAAATGGACGGAAAAGGAGAAAACCATGCCAAATAAGTCAGACTCAGAAAGTCCAGGGTCAGATGTTTCTCTCATGTAGAAGATAGAGCGAAATAAGGGAAAAAAAAACAATGGAGGAGGGAATTGGGTATCATAAAGATAAAGGGAAGATCAGTGGAGTAGAAGTAGGAGAACGAGAGGGAACAAGGAAGGGAAAGGGAAAGAAACACAGAATGAATTTAACAAAGTCATGTTATATTCATATATAAATGGACCAAAGGGAATTTTACTTTTATGTATGTGCTGAAAGTACCAATCAAAAATAAAGAAGGGGCTGAAGTTGTGGCTCAGCAGTAGAGTGCTTGCCTAGCACGTGTGGAGTGCTGGGAAATAAATAAATAAACAAACAAATAAATAAATAAACAAGCAAAAGGATGATCAGTAGAGTAGATGGAGAATAGGGAGAGGGAGAATAGGAGGAAAAAGAGAGGAATAGGGACTGAAATCAAATTCCTTGTATGTGTAATTTTGTAAAATTGAACCCATATACTATGTATGATTTTAATGGTATAAATAAAATATAAAATAAAAATAAAATGGGCTGGGGTTGTGGTTCAGTGGTGGAGTGCTTGCCTAGCATGTGTGAGGCACTGGGTTTGATCCCTGGCACCACATAAAAATAAACAAATAAAATAAGGGTATTTTGTCCATCTACAACTAAAAAATATTTTTAAAAATAAAATAGAGGACTTCAGAAAGCTATTTAACATATTAGAAACTTAAACCTACAATTTCTTTAAAAGTATATTGATTCATTTTAAAATAACATTAATAAACCCATTATTGGGCTGTGTCTGTGGCCCAGCGGTAGCGCACTTGCCTGGCATGTGTGAGACACTGGGTTCGATTCTCAACACTACATATAAACAAATAAATAAAGGTCTATAAACAAGTTTAAAAAAATTAAAAAAAAAATAAACCCATTACATGTAGAAATAATCTTAAAGTTTAAATATTTTTTAAAAAGAAATTACTATTTATGAAAAATAACTTTTTAAAAAAATTTAATGAGAAGGGTGACATCATTTTGCATCTTTGTAAATCTCTTTAATGTCTGCTTCAGTAGAAGTAGACATCGTCTTTATTGAATCTCTACATGTTTTTTTTTAATCATACTTTTATTTATTTATTTATTTATTTATTTATTTATTGGTATGTGGTGCTGAAGATTGAACCCAGTGCCTCACACATGCTAGGCAAGCACTCTACCACTGAACAACCCCAGCCCTCTACAACATGTTTTTTAGGTTGAATTAAGTCCAGTCTCACACAGATATATAGTTGGAAAAGGGTAGAAGTATGTAATAGCCTTTTCAGATAATTGTGAATATTCTTTGATACTGTATCTTGACAAGTGGCAATTTCTTAAAGGTCCCTTGGGATATGGAACTTTGTTATCTGTAGACCAATGGATTTTTCGGGGGGAGGCTCTAGATTTCATACAGACCACCTCTTTCTCATCTCTGATCCCCCACATCTCTTCTTCCACATCTTACCTATTTTCAGCCTTAGCTCTAGGATTTAACTCAGTTTATCACCTCCAATGGAAGAAAAGACTCATTTGTCTTCCTCGGTACTCTGCTAGGCCCCTTTCTGGAGTCAGGAGGTAGGGCTTGCTCTCCCATAGCCTTCTCCACGTTAGCTAGTGGAAACTCCCTCCTTTTGATTCTCAAACCAAAAATGGTGGCATTTTCTTTTTTGACTGCTGTCCTGTCACATATCCAATCTGTCAATAGATCTTATTGGTTTAAGCTTCAAAATAGATCCAGAATTCAGCCACTTATCATCTCCCTCATTATCACCTCATCCAAGCCACCATCATCTCTCCCTGCATTATTGCATCAGCCTCCTACCAGGACTCCCTGCATCCACCTTCGCTCCCTATTGTCAAGGGAGTGATCCATTAAGAACACACACATCAGGTCACTCTTATATTCACAATCTTTATCCCCTTTTAAAAAAAAAAAATCTACTGGCTGGGGATGTAACTCAGTAGTAGATCCCTTGTCTGGTGTGCCCATGGCCCTGTGTTCAATCTTCTGCATCACCCCCACATTCCCCCGCAAAAAAAAAAAAAGAAAAAAGTTTTGATGCTTATCATGATCTACAAGATTATATATCTACTTGACTGAATCTGATTCCCACCTCAATTGAATCATGTACCCTCTTACTTTTCAGTCACAGTGCCTTATTTTGAGGGTTCTTGAATCTACCATGAACTTCAGTGTCTCAAAGCCTTTATACTGTTAACCTCTTTCTGCTAAGTTCTTTCTCACTTAGGGCTTTTCTTACTCAGAGCTTCATTTAGTAGAATAATGACTCCCCGCTGCCATGTACCAATACTGGTGACTGAACCCAGGGGCACTCTATCACTGAGCTACATCCCAGCCCTTTTATTTTTAAATTTTTTAAATTTTGAGACAGGGTTTCACTAAGTTGACCAGGTTAGCTTCAAATTTGTGCCCAGCTAGACCGGTGAATTTTAATCTCTTTTATTTTAAACAGATTTTTTTTTTTAACCTATGCATGATTGTATAACACCATACAATGGTGATTTGGAAAATACAGTTTCATGAAAAGACAGATTTTCCAAATGTGTTAATGTAGTTCATTGTGTGTGTGTGTATATATATATATATTTTTTTTGCGGGGGGTGGGGTATACCAGGGAGTGAACTCAGGGGTGCTTAACCACTGAGCTACATCCTCAGCCCTTTTTTATTTTGAGACAGGGCCTCACTAACTTGCTGAGGCTAGCCTCAAACTTGCAATCCTCCTGCCACAGCCTCCCAAATCTTTGGGATTACACATGTGTGCCATTATACTCAGCCATTGTATGATATTTTTAAATTACATCTATTAATATTAATATCTATCTCATCAGAAAAATCTTTATTGCAAAGCTTTCAAGCTCATATAGCAGATACAAGTTCTCCAGAATTCCAATTTTTAATGGAAATCTTGAATTTCATCATTGTCAGCAAATACTATCAATTGTTTTCTTGAAGTGACATACTCATTTCATTCATGTTCAAGATGTCTGACAAATATCTAAGTCTAAATAATCACAGCTCTTAGTATAAAATGGTATTTTTGCTGGGCATGGAGGCATATACCTATAATCCCAGCAACTTGGAGGCTGAGGCAGGGGGATTGCAAGTTTGAGGCCAGCCTCAGCAACTTGTCAAGGTCCTGAACAATTTAGTGAGATCCCATATTAAAATAAAAATCTTAAGAAAAGGGGCTGGGATGTAGCTCAGTGATAGAATCTCCTAGGTTTAATCCTCCAGCCCCAGAAAAAAAGGTATCAGAGAAAGCTTTACTACTCACAAACAATGCAGAAGGCTATATATAGTATTATGAAAACAATTTTGATTGTGTTCATAATACTTTCAGATCCCTGAAAGAATTTCAAAGACCCTCAAGGGTCCACAGCTTTAGGAATCACTGTTTTAGTCCAGTTATTAATTTTGCATTTGATGAGGTCTGAAACTGAAAAAGAGTGGGTAGTTAACCCAAAGCCATTCCTTAATGACAGAGCTGGAGTTGGATTCCAGGGATTCTGACTCCTAAGCCAACACTCTTTCTAATGTTCAGAACATTCAACTGTATAAAGAAAAAAAAAGTCAAACCTCTGCCCAACTATTGTGCATTTTAAAATATGCATTATTACCAAAAATACTCTAAATCTATTTTGGAACATCATGTAAAACTATATGAGCTTTTTGTGTACTTGGAATAGTTGCAAAAAGTTAAAAGCAATATTATCTAAGAAGAAATTGTAGTAAAACTGTAGATTTCAATTAAACATTCAGGGCTGGGGCTGTGGTTCAGTGGCAGAGCACTTGCCTTGCACATGTGAGGCATTGGGTTTGATCCTCATATTATTATTAAAAATAAATAAACAGAAATATTTAAAAAAATTAAACATATACATAAAACTAAAAGATTTTTTTTTTTTTTTAACAGCTAATGAAAGTAGGTTCTGATGTTGAACTGTTGCTCAGAACATCTGTTATACAAGGCATTCACACAGACCACAGTACCCTGAGTAAGTAAAAAAAAAAATTCTGACTGCAATGTGTTTTGAAATATTGAATGTTATAACAATTTTATTTGTTTGTTTGTTTGTTTGCTTTTATTTTAAAAGATGGGGTCTTGCTATTTGTTCAGGCTGTACTCAAATTCCTGGGCCCTTGTAATCCTCCTACCTTAACCTCTTGAGTAGCTGGGCCAACAAGCATGTGCCACCATACCTCACATTACCTCTTAATTACAGCACTTTTAATGTTAATAAGTAAAACAGCTTGATTTTGCCAGGCACTCTAATATTTATTGTATGCATTTATAAGGTAGTCTAAAAATGCTGAATTATGAAACTTTGTTATACCAGATTTCATTTTAATTTTTAAATTTATACCCTGATTATATTTGTAAAACTGTAGTTACAAAAACATTACTACTATTTTCATCATATTTATTTGGGATTCTTAGTTTTTCTAGGCTCATGTATCACTTACCTAGACTAAATCTAATTTTTACCTTTTATTCTGTAATTATTTTAATTCAGAAGAATTGGGATTATAGGAAATGGAAATATAATTAAGAATTCTCCATTATACCTTGAGACTCTTTATGGTATCCAGTAGAATCTCATTTCACATTATATATTGTTTTCACTCCCTGAAATATTTTGGGGGATAATAGCAACAAAAAACAATGACATTGAAAATCATTGCTTTTAGGGGGCTGGGGTTGTGGCTTAGAGGTAGAGTGCTCGTGGAGCACGCCTCGTGAGGCACTGGGTTCAATCCTTAGCACCACATAAAAATAAAATAAAGATAAATGTTAAAAAAAAAAAAAAAAAAGAAAAGAAAATCATTGCTTTTAAAGTTCTTCTTTTGGGGGGGGAAACTGGAGATATAACTCAGGGGTGCACTTGACCACTGAGCCACATCCTCAGCCAAAATCATTGCTTTTAAATAGACTGTTGGAAATATACAGAAAAGTACACAATATATAATTGTACAACTCATTGAATTTTCACCAAGTGAAAGACCTAACATCCACATCAAGCTGTATATTACCAGCATCCCAAAGTCTCTTCATATCCTCATGTTTTTTCTAGTAACCTTCTTCCCACAAGGGTAGCCATTATCCTGACTTTCAACACCATAGTTTGTTGGGTTTTTTTTTTTTGTATGGGGGTTATTGAACCCAGGGGCGCTTAACCACTGAGCCACATCCCCAGCCCTTTTTTGTATTTTATTTAGAGACAGGGTCTCACTGAGTTGTTTAGCAGCTTACTAAGTTGCTGAGGCCAGCTTTGAACTTGCTATCCTCCTATGTCAGCCTCCTGAGGCACTGGGCATGTACCACTGTGCCTGCCATGTTTTTTTTTTCCTCCTTTATTCTGTAGGTTCAAAATGGAACAGATTTGATTCCATTAAGTTATGTTAGGCAAATTCCTCTGAATATTTTACCGGTGTCTACCCTGCATATAAAAATGAGAAATAAAATTCTGCTTCTTGTTTAGAAAATTGAGAATTGTGATTATGAGTCTCTCTAGATGTGTATGTATATACATCTATATATCTCAACATGAAGGTAATAGAGAGTGAAAATAATAAAATGAAACTGCATTTTTGCAATTGTGCATGAATTCTAAATTTCTCTTTTCCTTCCATTCCAAATAATATCTGTACTGAAAATTAAATATTGAATTTCACTCAGCAAGAACTCCTTATCTTATATAATTTGTAATTTTTTTCCTTTTTAAAAACTAACTTCCTTTATCATGGTGTGTGATTTCAAAGTTCTTTATTATAGACATGACAATTTAATCATTTTGGGAAAATTTTCTTATTTTGAAAAAATCTTTTAAAAATGTTGTGGAAACTGCTTATTTTCCCCAAGTACTGGCTAGTTTTTGTGATTTTTTTTCTGTATCATCTTAATTGCACGAATTTGAATTAATCATAACATTTGATTCATACCATTCTCATCATTGGTCTAGCAGAGCCTTTAACTATGACTTAGAAAAATACTGAAATTAACTCATTGTTCCACAATTGCTTTCTCTTTGATTATTGACGTAACATGGATATTAGTCAAATGGTTTTAGAATTGACCTTTATCTATCATACATTCTATAGATAGTTATCAAATTTATGCATAAAAATTGTATCAAGAAAACTCAGAACTTCATGTGACTATATATTAATGGTATATAGTTTTGTTTTTGTTTTTATTTGTGGTACTGGGGATTGAACCCAGGGCCCTGTGCATGCGAGGCAAGTACTCTACCAACTGAGCTATATCCCCAGCTCCTGATATATAGTTTTTGAATAGGATCGTCTATACTTTTTAACTTCTTCTGTGGCATATATGTAAGACAAACAAAATGGGAATGTGCTTTGAAAATTGGTGTGATACATGTTTTTTCAAATGCACTAGAAGCCAGACACAGTGGACCATGCCTGTAATGTGGCTTAGGAGGCTGAGGCAGGAGGATTGCAAGTTCAAAGCCAGCCTCAGCAACTTAGCAAGGCTTTAAGCAACTTTTTTATTTTGAGACCCTGTGTCAAAATAAAAAACAAATAAAATGGGCTGGGGAAGTGACTCAGTGGTAGAGCACTCCTGGGATAAATCCCCAGTACCACACACACACACACACAAAAGCAATCTTTTTTCAAATGTGTTTTTAAATTTCTGCCTTTTCATTTATTTACATTTGTCATTACCTACAACTATCTTAGAATTTGTATTTAAAGGCAAATTAATGTGATTCAGTAAACACTTATTGAATCTTCTTTGTGCTGGGCACTAGAATTTATGGAGAATGCTCTTAAATGTTCCTTCAGTCCTTCAATGCTGTAAGAGAGGCACATAAGCAGATCCCCATATGCAAGGATAGATTCTTGGAAGAAAACACTTAGTTTTCTAAAGTTCTCTAACTTCTTTTTTAAATATTATTTTTTATTGTTGTTTATTTTTTATGTGGTGATGGGGATTGCACTTAGGGCCTTATGCATGCTGGGCAGGTGCTTTACCACTGAGCTGTCTCCCCAGCGCCCCCGCCTTTTTTAAAAAAATATTTTTAGTTGTATATGGACACAATACTTTTATTTATTTACTTATTTTTATGTGGGTGCTGAGGATCGAATCTGGTGCCTCACACATGCGAGACAAGTGCTCTACCATTGAGCTACAATCCCAGCCTCTAATTTCAACTTATCATTTATATTTATGTTCTTGATATATTTAGCAACATTTCTGTAACTTCAGAGTTAAATATTTTAACATCTTATAAATTATTGATATCCAAAGTGTCTCTCTGATTGCCATACTCTTATAAACTATGCTACTCATAATAGATTTTTTTAAAAACTCCTGCCCTTAATTTTGATTTTGGTCTATAATTGAGCTAAAGCCTTTTTATTTCAAAAGAAGTACTTTGTAAATTATGCATATAATATGACCAGAGTAGATAAGGCTTTCAGGGTCCTATAAAGTACAGGAAATAAACCATGATCTCAGTGCAGTTCCTTATCAAAGATCTGGCAATGTCAAATAGATTCATGTGGTTAATAGTATTTGGCATCTAACATAGAGAGCAAAGTCAGAGATTTTACAATCAATAAAATAAAATTATAGAAAAATAGTATATACTATGTAAATACACCTGTGGTATGTTTGGCCTAATTAAAGTGTTAGCAGTTAATGAATACAGAAAAATTCAATTATAGAGATCCTTTGATTCCAAAGATCACACAATAAGAAGAATTGAGTGAAGGGATAGAGTAGTGGATATTCGAGAGGCTTTCTGGTTATTTACCACTCTTTGAATGTCTTCCTTTGTCTTAGGAATTTTCATCTGTATAAGTTCTAGATCCTCAAGATAGAATAAAGAAAATTCAGTTCCTCAGTTTCCTTTGCATTTCTGACACAAGCATTTGATATAGATAGCTCACACCTATCCATGTTCAGCAGTGGACTTGAGGGGCTAGCGGTGTAGTTCAGAGACAGAAGGTTTGCCTCATATGCATGAGGCCCTTGGTTCAATCCCCAACCAACAAACAAAAGAAATGACCTTGAGGGCAGAGGCTTGGCACAGATCTCTTTTACTGGCAGGAGTAGCATTAGTGGTTATAGGATCAGGTCCTCATGGGAAAGTGGCATGGATTTGGTGGCAGGGGAGATGTAGGAATGTTGTTTCTGGCAGCATCTAAAGTATAGCACATTGTGTTTCATAAGCTTAAAAATGGTGGCAGTTTCTTCTAATGCTCCATTGGAGTGGCAGTTTTTAATCATTAGGCCAGTTCTAGGGTATGGTTTTGCTGTTTTTCTGAAAACAGTCTCAAACCTGTCAGATTCTTTAGCCCTCACAACAATGCCATGAATAGATGAAAAACCTATTAATAATGTGTTGTTTTTTTTTTTTTTCCTGCTTAATCAGTCCTAGTCCACTTGTGTTTAAAACCAACAGAAGTTTTCTCAAGAAGTGAGGTACTGAAGATTACACAACTTAAAATGTGAAAGTAGAGAGTGAAAAGTAAGGATAGAAGGGAGTATGATTATCATGGACCTGACCACTATAGGCTTTAAGTTTGTGACCCATATAATGGTAAAACATAAGGTCAGGGCCTCTTTCTATTTCTTAGGACACAAACCAAGTACTACCTGAGGCTACAGCTAAGAGAAATTGCCAGAATGTCAGTACATGCTGGTTAGTTCTTCCTGCTTTCAACAAGGTACTGAAAAAGAAATTGAGTGCAGATTTACTAGTTCATCTGCAAAGCAAGATGGATTGAACTATTATTTAGTTAAGGGGTATTCTTTGCAGCCTAAAACCTAATTGATTAAGAGTTCCTTAAAGAGCCTTGCAGAGGCTCTTTAAGAGAAAATGCCAATTGGTCCCATCCTCTAAAACTAAAACAAATACAAGCAAGAGGCTTCTCAACAATAATGTGAAATAAAATCAGTGCCCTTAAAATTTTCTCATACTGCCAGATGCATTTAGTCACTGAAGCTTATTGTTTTTCATTGCTCTAAGAAGTGACTTAAGGTAAGGACCATTCCAGAAGATTATCTTAACACTAAATATTTTACTTTTATACATTTTAGGGGGAAATGACTATACTTATATTTAATTCTAATATAATGACTATATAACTATAATTCTAATTTTAATAATTTTAATTATTCTCTCTGTTTTTCTTTTAGAATTGGTCCCTAGGAAAGATCTTCTTCTAGAAAATGTACCATACTGTGATGCACCAACTCAGAAGCAATGAATTTTCTAGGATAAAACAAGACTTTGTACATTTTAACTATAAAATGTGTAACTGGCAAAAGTCCTAGAAATATTGAAAATGAATGAATTAAAGAGTAACATCATAATTTAATTCTACATTAAAAGGACATTGCTAAGAACTACAGAACATAGTTTTGGTTTTGGTTTTGATTTTTGTGGTGCTGGGGATTATACCCATGGCCTATTCATGCTGGGTAATTGCTCTGCCACTGAGCTATATCCTCAGCCCTATAGTTAAGTATTTTTAAAGGACATTAGAGAAGATAATTTATTTACATTGAAAATCAAATTTGTATATGGGGTAAAAATGGGAGTTCATAACCCACTTGAATCAAAGTGTGAAATATGATATATCAAGAACTATGTAATGTTTTGAACAACCAACAATAAAAAAAGAAAAAAAGAAAATCAAATTTTATAAAGTAAAGCTTAGGGAGGTATATCATATTCACTTCTTTTAGACCTTTATAAGTGTTCTGCTCTTACCAAAGTTATTTGAATATTTAGTGTTTTGAAAACTTGTAAGTTTTCCTCCCATGGGAAATTTAATTATTAGATGTAAATTATTAGATTAAATTAATGTTTAGTCTCCAAATTATTAAAATGGCCAAAGGAGTCACGGCTCTCCACAGAAGGTATTCGTTGTTTCCTGAATACTGGAATTATTTCTGAAGCTAATAAATAATTATAGCTTTTCTTTTTAGACAATAGAGAGGTTCTCTGTGTCCTTATAAAGACATTTTTAATCAGTCTTCTAAAGACAGATGAGTAAAACCTCAAAATCACTTAGAGTCATTATGGAATAAAGAAACCCTAATTGTTTTAAAGAAATGGTGGGCTCAATCAAACTGGGTATGGCCTTACTAGAATTAGCTGTATTTAGACCACAGTTGACTTTACTGTGCAAATGTAACATATGGCTATATTCACTTTGCTTAAATCAATAAAACTTAAATGACTTTTCTTCTTCTACATGTCCCATCCTTGGGATGAGACTGAAGAATCACAGAAGGCCCTAGCATTCTACCATCTAATGCTAGAAGCTATAAAATTGTATTAACATTCTTCTTGTTTCTCATTTATCTGTGTATCTTTATTGTTCCCTTTCTCAATGAATAGAGTGTTCTCTCCAATTTGATAGTGAACATTCTCCCATTTGATGATGATACAGTGTTTTACATTTTTTACAAGATTCTCAATGCAAGTTTATTTGTTAGCAAAACATTGGTGTATCTATACAGGATATAAAATGTCAAATCGGAAAACAAATTAAATTTTAGAAAATCAAAAAATTATCAAAATTATTTAGATGTAGTACACTCAGTATTAAACCAGAGACTACCCTTTATGCATTTTAAATCTTTTTTTTGGTGCCAGAGATTAAACCCAAATGCCTAACCACTGAGCCACACCCCCAGCCCTTTTTATATTTTATTTATTTATTTATTTATTTTAATTTTTTTTTAATTTCATGTTTGTTAAATCAAGCTTTATTGATAAAATGGAATTCAGAATATCTTACTAGGAACAGCAGCAGGCCCAGCCAATCATGATAGCAAAAATGTGGCAGTCTCCTACTATATGTAGGAAGCTGCTGCTTATCAATTAGTAATTAAATGTAAGGACTTGTAAAAGAGGTGCAAAGAATCAAGGCATTTTAGCCCCAAGATTGATATTCTTATGAATATACTGTATTACCCGCAATACTCATAGCGGGGGAGAGAACATCCTGAAACACAGTTAAATAAAGAGAGTGGCTTTATCAACAATGCCAATCCCTTGCCAAGAACATTAAGATAGTTTTCCATTACTCCTGGGATATTCAGCTTTTTAAGATTTTGAAATTCTTCTCCATAATCATGTGCATGTTTGAGCACCTAGCTGACATGGCTGCTGCTCTCCCTGTCCCAACCCCAAATCCAATATAACATGACTTGAAAGGGCTATATATCTGTTGCATCACACAACAAGCCAAACATTTCTTGTATCTTCGATAGTGATTTTAAAGCAGTTCATAATTAAATATGAGCATTTTGTACAAGGACAATTACACTTTACAAAAAAAAATCATACAACAAAAATTGCTGGAGTCTGATTTACAACATGAATTATGGTTTGAAATCACGTTTACATAAGTCTCAAATTTACAAAAAAAAAAAAAGAAAAGAAAATCAGTTCTGGGCTAGCTGTTGTACTGCTGAAGTTCTCTGGTGTAATCACTCTCACCCATGTCATATCCCCTTCCTTAAGTTGAGGCTGGATGCTAAAAGGTTCAACAAAGTTGAGTTGCACTCTCCTTTGGAAGTGAAGGTAAACTCCACGGCTAGATGAGCAGTTTTACCACATGTCATCAGTTGATGCTGAGTCAGCGTCATCATTTTTGTAAGGATTCAGTCTATTGTAAACAGCTTCAATTACATTCCGCTTGCTTGCCAATTCACCCCCTGGTGGGAGGCTGGGGATGTTCTCACTTGCTAATGTGCGCATCACATGGACTAAGTCGGGGACGCCTTCTCCCTGCTTCTTTATGATTTCTTCTACTCTGCATTCCAGGTACTTGTCCAACTCTGCCTCCTTCTTCACTGCTTCTGGTGATACTTTGGGTGCATTTGGAAAACAGATCAAAATCACACTCATGTTGTCTCGACTTCCCCGGAGCAGCCGCGGGCGGGCAGGTCTCTGGTCGGCCGAGGCAGCGGCGACGGCAGCAACTGCGGCCGGGGAAGGGGCGAGGAGGGGGTCACGGCGGCGGCGGCGGCGGCGGCGGGCCGGGGAGGGGGCGGAGGAGGGGAGGAGCCGGGCTGCGTCCGGGCCCCCGGCTCTCGGCGCCCTCGCGGTTCAGATCATCCGGGCGTTGGAGCGGGAGGCAGAGAGCGGGTCCCGGAGAAGGAGGAGGAAAAGCCGAGGATTCATCGCTTTCGCACCCCACCTGCCTGGCGTCCCCCCACCCCCCTCCCCAACCACCCGTTCCGGAGCTGCAGCCGCCGGAGCACCCGAAGCTGCGGACCGGGCCGGCGCGGAGACCACTGCTCTCTCTTATATTTTATTTAGAGACAGGGTTTTGCAAAGTTGCTTAGGCCCTCACTAAGTTGCTAAGGCTGGTTTTGAATTTGCAATCTTCCTGACTCAGCCTCCCAAACCCCTGGGGTGCAGGCATGCACCACCATACCTAGCACATCCTAATACTTTTGAGGAGATAAGTTAGTAACTCTGAAGTTACAGAAATGTTGCTAAATATATCAAGAACATAAATGTGATTCTTCGACTCTGCATTACTATCTGCTCTTTGCCTGTGCCCTTGGCACAGCATCCTGTAGCCCTGCAGTTACCTTCACCCTTCCTTGATCTTTCTGTGATATACAGATGAATATGTATAACTTGTAGGATGTGTGATTTGAGTATTGCAGATATTAGAAATTAAGATTGGAGAGGCTGGGGTTGTGGCTCAAGTGGTAGCAGCTCGCCTGGCATGCGTGAGGCACTGGGTTCGATCCTCAGCACCACATTAAAAAAAAAAATGAAGATATTGTGTCCATCTAAAACTAAAAAATAAATTAAAAAAAAAAAAAAAAGAAATTAAGGGCTGGGGATGTGGCTCAAGCGGTAGCGCGCTCACCTGGCATGCGTGCGGCCCGGGTTTGATCATCAGCACCACATACAAACAAAGATGTTGTGTCCACCGAAAACTAAAAATAAATATTAAAAAATTCTCTCTCTCTTTCTTTAAAAAAAAATTAAGATTGGAATAGAATAAAAGAACTTTTGATTGCCCAGCTTCTGACTATCTGGTCACCCCAGATGATTGCAACTTAGTGAGGCTTCTGAATTTATTGTCATTCAATAAATTCTGGCATTGTGGAAAGACACAAAAGTGTTTGTCTATGTTGATGGCATAGTTCACTCACAGCACTTGCATATTTTCCTCTCCTAGATATTTACTTAAGGAAAATGAAAACATCTATCCTGACAAAGCAGATCAGTGGTTGCTAAGGGATAAGGGCATGAGGACAAGTGGGAGGGAGGAATTAAAATATGGGCATGATGAAATTGGGGGAGGTGATGAAGGCAATTTCTTTTAATGTATTTGTTAATCAGCTTACATTTAAATATCGCCTCTCCAGTAGGGCGTGCTGATGCACACCTGGGAGGCTGAGGCAGAAGAATTGCAAGTTTGAGGCCAGGCTGAGCAACTTAGCAAGACCCTATCTTAAAACATAAAAAGGCAGCCACTTGGGAGGCTGAGGAAGGAGAATCACAAGTTCTAAGCCAGCCTCCACAACTTAGTGAGGCCCTAAGCAACTTAGCAAGACCTGTTTTTTTATTGTTGTTGTTTTGTTTTTGGTACCACCCAAAAGCAGGGCAGGGGTGTTGCTGGGGATGTAACTTGGTGGTAAAGCACCCTTGGGTTCAATCCCCAGTACCAAATAAATAACTAAATAAATAATATCCCTCCACTGATCATTAACTTTTTACTTTACACAAAATACCTACCAATAATAATATATTTAGCATTTTCTTTCTCCCCTTCCCCTTCCCCTTCTTTTGTACTGGGAATTGAACTCAGGGACCCTTTACCACTGAGTTACAAACCCAGCCCCCTCCTTTTTTTTTGAGATGGGGCCTCACTGAGTTACTTAGGGCCTTGCTAAATTGCTGAGGCTGGCTTAAAACTTGCAATCCTTCTGCCTCAGCCTCCTGAGTTGCTGGGATTACAGGTGTCCACCAGTCATCTATTCTTTTTATTATGATTGCTTTTAAGATTTTTGTCTTTTCTTCGGTATTCTAGGTAGAGATTTTATTTTGATTTACCCTACTAAACACTTAGTATTCTTCATCTTTCTGAGAATTCAAGTTGTACATTCTAGAAATTTCTCATCCATTTTCAAATATTGCTTCACATTATCTCTGTTCTTTCCTTCTGAAGCTCCTGCTAGTCATCTCTTTTTTAAAAAAAAAATATTTTTTAATTGTTGATGGACCTTTATTTTTTATTTATTTGTATGTGGTGCTGAGGATCGAACCCAGTGCCTCACACATGCTAGAAAAGTGCTTTGCCACTGAGCCACAACCCCAGCCCCTAGTCATTTCTTATTCTGCCCATTAACTTCCTTCTTGTTAATTTGCTCAATTTCATAATTCATTACCTGCTCTGATTCACTACTTCCTTCATTTTCTCTTTTGCTTTTTATTTTTCTTTCTTTTTTTAAATTATTTTTTCTTTTACTGGAGAGATTGAGCCCAGGAGTACTCTACTGAGTTACATCCCCAGACCTTTTAATTTTGAGACAGGGTCTTGCTAAGTTGCCCAGGCTGGCCTCAAACTTGCAGTCCTCCTGCCTCAGCCTCCTGGTAGCTGGGATTTACAGGCATATGCCACTGCATCCAGCTCTACTTTTTTCAGCTGTGTCTAATCTGCTATTCATACACCCCATGTATTTCTTCTTTTTATTTCAGCAGTTTCATTTTTAATTTTTAGTCATTATATATTTTATATCAAATGCACTCTTCCTTTTTCACAGCGATTTGTTCATTATGATTCTTTATATCTTTCTTCATTTAAGATACTGATTTTATGTAGTCTCTTTTTAGAAAGTCCTATTTTATCAACTACATAGATAATCAATACTCCTCTTTGTGACACATTCTTTCCTCATGTGTTTTGTCAGCTTTTGTCATATGTGTATCTTTTTTGGGGGGCACGGGGACTGAACTCAGGGGCACTCGACCACTGAGCCCTATCCCCAGCCCTATTCTGTATTTATTTTATTCATTTATTGATATGCAGCACTGAGACTCGAACCCAGTGCCTCACACATGCTAGACAAGTACCCTACCCCAGAGCCACAAACTCAGCCCCTGTATTTTATTTAGAGACAGGATCTCACTGAGTTGTTTAGCACTTCACTGGCTTTGAACTTGCCATCCTCCTGTCTGAGCCTCTTGAGCTGCTCGGATCACAGGCATGTACCACCGTGCCCAGCTTGTTATATGTATATCTTGGATGTACATTATTAATTCTATGAGGATCCCATGTGGAGTTGTGGATTGTGGGAATGTTCTTCTAAGAGATTTTACACTTGTCTTTGCCAGGCACCCTGAGAGTACTTAGGAGATTTCCATGCCACTCAAGAAATTTTTGATTCTAAATCATCACGTGGTATGGCAGTTTTCACTTCTCACCAGTGATTTCTCCTCCATGTAATGGAACTTTGCTCCTTCCTCAGGTTGATGTTTTTCAGCCTACATACTGGCTGTCCCAGTCCTGTGAGTTGCTGTGTCCCTGCGCAGAGATCTCAGTTCTAGTCCCTTATGTTGATTTATCCTACTGAACACTTAGCATTTTTCATCTATCTGAGGATTCAAGTTGTGCATCAATTCTAGAAATTTCTCATCCATTTTGAAATGTTGCCTCACATTCTCTCTGGGTGTAGCAACTAGGGCTTATTTCTAAGTCTTCTAACAGCCTCCAGAACTACCTGAGCATCAGCTTACAATACACAGATTGTAAGTTTTCAGATCTCTTTTCTTTCTGGCATAACTATGTTGTATGTGGTAGAAAACAAAGCATTGGAAGGCTAATAGGGACATGTTAATGGGACACAGGATGTCTGGGGAGTGTAGCTCAGTGGTAAAGTATGTGCTTATCAGCATGTACAAGGTTCAGGGTTCATTCTCCAGCACTGGCAAAAAAAAAAAAAAGACACAAGGAGTTAAATTGAAGGAACTCTTGATGATCAAATTTGGGACTTGTACATAAAAAAATAATAATGACCATAATAGAATAATAGTCCAACACATTCATTAAAAAATACCCAAATTCAAGGCCAGCCTCAACAATTTAGAAGGCTCTAAGCAACTTAGACCCGTCTCAAAATAAAAGAAATGAAAAGGGCTGGGGTTGTGACTCAGTGGTAAAATACCCCTGGGTTCAATCCCCAGTACCAAAACAAAACCCAGGAGTTCATAAAGACAAAGTAAAAAGTGATTTTCATTTTTTTTCTCATTCTAAAATTATTCAAAATAAAATCCTAGAGGGAATTAGTATTGAATCTTATCTAGCATTTTGTTGTACGGAAGGGTCAACATTAGCTTAGTCCACATCTTCTCCAACTCAAAATTTCAGATGCTATTCTTTTAAAGGAAAATAAATTTTTGTACATGTTTTTCTGACAATCTACTGTTAATATATCTAGTTTTCTGATATATTATTCAGTTAAATATGATTCAGGCTTTCATGTTAGGAGTTCTTTTTTCTGCAATAATATTTTTCTTAATTTCAACTGAATGCAATCTCTCCATGTATTCAACCAACATTAATTAAATATTTGCCCAAGGTGAATCTCAAGGTAGGATTCAACAACAGAAACAATCTAGTAGAGAAGACCAGCAAGAAGGTGGGCAATTGTAGTGTAACTAGTGCTAAATAGGGATTAGGCATAGGGTTTTAAGAATGTAAAAGTAATTGATCAGAACGAAGTTTGTAAAACATAATAAATGCATAATATGATGTGTATTTAGTCTCTTAAAGAAATAACCAGGTGTAAAATCACTCACACTTAACCCCATTTTTCAAAATATAAACTGGAATGAGAAAAACAAGATTTTGCGGGCATGGTGGTGCACACTTATAATCCCAGCGGCTTGGGAGACCAAATAGGAGGATCTTGAGTTCAAAGCCAGCCTCAGCAACTCAGCAAGGCCCTAAGTAA